GCTTGTGAGATTTGATGTGTTCTCAAAGCCTAAGGGGTTCATTCAGCTATTAGGTGGCAGTGTGTGTAAAAACCTTATTTAAATGAACCTCAGCCATACGTGGCAGAGTATTAAAGGATCTTATGATGAACACATCTGGTGTGTATAAGTAAGTTCTGTGACCTGCCCATATTTGGTACATGACATGTATTAGGAGCAGGCTTAAGAACAGAAATGGAAGGAAAACGGCAAAAAAGGTTGCAAACAGGGGGAACAGAGCAATGAAGGTTGTGTGATCTCATCCACATACCACCCTTTAAAGCCCTCAGAGAACTTCAGCTTTGACAAACCTTCACAGTGACAGACTCCAAGCAGTATTTTGCAAGCTTTTGAATTGCAAACAAACTCCACAAAGAAACTGAAGATATACAAGTATCTTCTTCAATGTATGCTGTGGGGAAGCAAATCCTTTAAATCCTTTCATTTTACTGAAGGCACTGAAGATGGCTATGAAAGGGTTCTGGCTATGTTTGATGCATACTTTACACGTATCCTCAGAAATGTGGTTTATGAAAGAGCACGTTTTCAATAGAGAATTGAAGAACCAGGGGGAAATGTTAGATGTTTTATAAGAGCTCTGCATACATTGGCTAAAAACTGTGATTTTGGGGAAAGCAAAACATGAAAATATCAGAGACAGGCTGGTTATTGGGCTAACACACACAAACCTTTCGCAGCAGCTTCAATTGAAGAGAGATTTAATTCTATCCATTGCTATTCAAATAGCAAAACAGTCTGAAATGGTGAAACAGCAAAACCTGGAGAAACTTGACAATCTTGAAAAATTCCTGAAACTAGCTTAGAAACTGTAAACAGACACCTGAGTGTTAAAAGTCATTGCCATAAAACTTCTGAGTCAAGGAGATAGAACTCCCAGGCTAAGGGGGACAAATTTCAGTCTACATGAACAAGGTGTGGAAAAAGTCATATTCCAAGAGATGATGCATGTCCATGGCACATGGTGTAATAAATGCATGAAATATGGACATTTTCCAGCTGTTTCCTGCATCAAAGCAATCAGGGAGTTGACTCACATTATAGACAATCAAGAGCTATTTTTCTGGGATCTATCACTTATGATGACATACAGCCTGCCTGGAGATTGAAACTGAATATTCATGGCAAAATTATTGACTTTAGGAGCTGATATTTAGAAGCTGATATCATAGTCATCTCAGAAGGGACTTACAATCACCTTCAACCCCACACCTTCAACCCCTCACCTGACACAGCTCTCACTGGCACTGCAGGTATTCTGAACTGCATGGGCCAATTCACCATAGAAACAGCTTACAAAGACAAAAGTTTTGCATTCAGAGTGCATGGGATCAAAGGACCACTGATCAACAACCTTCTCAGCTGCAGCATGGCAACCATGATGGGCTAGTGAGACAGATGAAAGAACTTAATGGATGATTTGATTATATTTCACTTTTTAAAGGAGACCCAGTACAAATCAACTTAAGATATAATGCTGAATGATACAGCATACAAACACCTCTACCAGACAGACCCTGAAAGAGACTAGCTGCAAATTATGCACATTCAGAGGACATCTTTACCTGGTCATAATGGGCTACTTTTCCAGATACTGTATATAGAAATAATGTACTTGAAAGACATAATATGTTGCAGTGTTATCAAAAAACTGAAGTGCACTTTTGCTCACTTTGTTATTGCAGAAAAACTAGTGACTGGCAACAGACCACAATTCACTGCAGGAGAATTTAAGTGATTCCAAATGAAATATGAATTTGATTATATATTAATCTGTTTGCCAGCATCTGGGAATGGGTGACAGGGGTGGATCACTTGATGATTAACTGTTCTGTTCATTCCCTCTGGGGCACCTGGCATCAGCCACTGTCGAAAGACAGAATAAACTGGGCTATATGGACCTTTGGTCTGACCCAGTATGGCCATTTTTATGTTCTTATATTACTAGCAGCCCACATTACCCACAAGTGAATGGAGAGGCTGAGAGAGCTGTACAGACAGTCAAGAAAATCCTATAGTCATTCCTTCTTCTGAGTTATAGATCAACATTAATAGCAGCTATTGGATATAGTCCAGCACAACTGCTAATGGAAAGATAACTCATAACTACTGTTCCAACTTGGAAAAGACTCTATCTCCAAAGTGGTCAGACATGAAGAAAGTAGCAAAATCAGATAAAAAGGTTAAAAGAGTTTATGAACACTTTTACAACAGATATCACTCGGTTAAACAACTGCCAGGTCTAGAACATGATGTTTGTGTCAAATTGGATGGAGAAAAAGACTGGACAACTCCAGATGTTGTAAAGAAAAATTTCAATGCCCAGATCATATGTGGAGAGTTCAACAGAAATCATCAAAATCTACAGTTTATTCCTCAGAACAATCAACTGAGCAAATTCCACAGATGATGGACACCGAACAAGAAGAAGATGACTTAGGAATTCCAAACCAACCACATCCAGTCATTGCAACAAATGAACAGACAGATGACTAAGTTTTTACGCATTTGGGTTACATAATTAGAAAATCAGTAAGATTCAGAGACACTTAACAGACTGATATGTACTGAACATCAAAGATTGCAATATTGTAAATAGTAGGAATGTAGAAGTAAAAGGGGGAGATGTAATGGAATGCTAAACTGTATTATGCTATTCAGCCATTAGGTGGCATTGTGTATAAAAATACCTTATTTAAATAAACTTCAGCCACACCTAGGGAGCATTAAAGGATCTCATGAGGAACACTTCTAGTTATAAAGCAAGCTCTGACAAGTCCACATCTGGTACAGAAGTACATTACAAAGGGGTGTTATATATGCAACCAGGAAGCCCACCTCCTCTTTCGGCTAAGTCCTCTCATATACACTGTTCACAGCCAGCATAAGAAGGTGGAGTCCTACTGAATTTTATGGAGTTGTGTCCACTTACCCCAGAATTTAATTTGGCACCATGTGTACATTTCTATGTAAGATCTAATCAGACACTGAAAGTTGCAGTAGGGCTTTTAATTCTTGTTGGTGGTGACAGTAATAGGGATTTCTACAGGAAAGAAAGGGAGTGCGGGTTTATTGCTGTGGAGGGGTTGTTGACTTTTTTAAAATAAGGTATCATGCCCCCTTTAGTTTATTACTGTCTTATAGCATTAGTCAGAGGCTTCATTTAAGAACATGAAACATATTTGTCCAAGAATATTGTTACAATGTACTAAATTGTACTTTTAATGCCCATGACTCAACATTTTCTCTCCTTTTAACACACTCACAGACAGCAAAGCATTTGAATAATGGATTCTCAGAAAATTGCTGTCATAGGGGGACCTCTTCAGAAAAAAACAGGAAATCGTACAATGTTAACAGAACGTTCTGGGCTTCATGAAAGTCAAAAAAATTGCCAAGATACAGAACAGGAAGTATAGAGTGAAATTGTATCTTTCACAGAAAAAAGGAGAGCTGTTCTCATACAGATTCTTTTAGAAAATTGTGTGCAATATGACTGATGCACTCAAATACTACAGTGATGGCCGGGATAGAAAAACCTGCATAGCACAGAATTCATAGTTCATATAGATAATGCAATAGAAGGGGTTCTGCTAATAATTTTATATTCATCATTTTTTTAACAGAATGAAATGCAACTGTTGGTATTTACAGTCAGGCTCAGAGTGTAACAAAGGAAAAGTTTACAAATTCAAAAGATTTAAAAGTAAGACCAATGCTGTCAGGTATAGCTCCCCATTAATTACAATGAGATCCATATGCATACGTAAGGTCAGAATTTGGCCCATTTTGTTAACTTGTCATCTTGTCCATAGTATTTACTACAGCTGCAGAAAAGCTGCAAAAAGTTCCCACAGATATCCATTCAAGTTTTCTTTAAGGGTATTCTCACTCCTTTTTGTATTTGCTCTCAGCATACACTCCAGCAAACAAGTGTACTGGAATGGTCACCAAACCACCAATTGAAAGTGAATATTGCAGAATATTTATAAAGTGAATTTTGAATTTGTATACCTGTTTATTTTCACTGGGCACCTGATTTGATCATACCATGTGACCTATGTGGCCAATCAAAACAGCTCAACTTTCAAATGCTGAATATTCAAAATGGCCAGCGTTGGAATAAGTTACAAACTAATGCAGGGAAGGAGTAAGTACCTCTATCTGGCTGGAAGAAAGATCACAGTTGCCAGCCTTGTGCATAGGAATTTTCAGGTTTGTGGGAATGGGCCAAATGTGGGGAATTAACTAATTCCTCCCTCTCCTCCCAGCACATTGGAGGGTTGTAGTAGAGGAAGCTGGGTGTGAGGCTGGTAGGGAAGAGTCAGTCAGGCTCTTCACTAATGTGGAGGGTGCTAGAAGAGAAAAAACAGGAGAGGGTTCTCTTATTCTTGGAATTTTGCAGAAGTGAACCACGTGTTACACCATGACTGAACTTTGAAACAGTAACTTCACTTTGAACTTCAAGTGAAGGTAACCCTGTTTGACCTTTAATGAGGCAGAACATACTTCATTTACGTTAAAGAAAAGGAGTACATTTATGTTGGTATATCTACAGCGAACCATAACATGGAGGTGTTTAAATTCTACCTAGGGATTATGAATTCAGTGATCTGACTGCCTGTCATGGCAGCCCTGTCCTGGAGGCAAGTAACTATTTTTTCCCATTTAAGTTGTGCATTTAAAAGCATATCATAGCCAGTTTCATTGCTTCCCCTGCACAGTCAGATAGTTAGTTTCCCCTATATTTTGTATGGGTTTCCACACAGCAATGGGGAAAAGAAAAACATTCCTAAAAAAAAAACATATAAAATGTAATTGTAGAAACAAACATGGGGCAGATGTAGAACCTGAAACTAATTTAAAGAATTCTTTAACTGACTAGATTTCTAGTTAACAACACCCCTTTAATTCTGAAATTCCTGGCTTTGGTTGGTGTAAGCCCTACACATCTCCTTACTTACATGACATCTTGGTGTTGTTCAGAATGGTTTACTTTGTCCTCCTGGGTTTCCTTCAACTCTAACGGTTTATCAACCATCCCGGTAGTAGTTTTCCTTTACAAAGTTCGTCACTAGAATTGACAGGAAACAAACTGCATATAAATTTGAACACAATGGCTAAGCAATTTCCCTGTAATGCTTTAAATCTTGTGTTTAAATGTTTTGAGGTCACTTGATAAGCACATTTTAAAATTATTACACTAGTGAATGGCACAAGCAATTATCATCTCCTATCAGTCACTCAAATATAGTGATAGATGCATCCGAGGAAAGGATTAATTTCTTGCCCTGAAAACGAAAACATATTTGTCAGTAATTATCAATATCAGACCAGATCGTTCCATCAATTTTTAAGTAGAAAACCCCACTTATATTAATAGGGATTTCTGCTTGTAAAGTGATGGCATGATACATTCCATTATTATTACTGAAGCAGTCGATACAATTATATAGTGTTGATTATTGAGCTATAATGATGTAACAGCACTATACCTAGCAATATCAGTAGCAATAATAGTAATACAAAGGCAGTAGCAAAGATATCTGTTTACATGGTAAGTCCTCTGGGCAGTGAACATGTCTTCAGTATTTTGTACATTGCTGAATACACTTGTAGCATTTAACAAATAAGAATAAGAATAAATCCAAAAGACCTACTGAGGATTTAGTGAAGATTTGCTTTTTGTGTCAATTATTTGTCTGTTTTTTATTTTGTTATTGACAAACTTACTTTGAAAATTACTGTAAGTAACTGTATCAAAAAAGAAAAAAGAAAAGAAATGCATAAAAATTTGAGTGAGATTTTAATTTGCACATATTGATAACATAATTAGTATTTCTTTAATACCTTCATTTCATATTACACTCTTGCTTAAATTTAAGGACTCTGGTGCAGTTAAATAATTCTCTTTGCACACCCCAAATGAAAAACAACACAAAATACTGGAAATAATTACCTATAAATTGGAACGGTTTACTAAATCAAACAGACCTTACTGGTCATCTGAGTGTAAATATGTGGAGCAAATGCAGAGAAAGCAGTAAAAAGAAGGTCCAAACCTCATAAGCAGAAATTTTCAAAACCTGGTTTGTTATGAATGAATGTGATTATTGCTATTATTTACTTAATATATTACTATTCCCGGTTCATACAGAATGTTGTTATTCCAGATTATTTCAATGGTTTTACTGATGTTAATTTCTATCACTATATTTTTCTTCTTGCTCTAATAATAGAAAAAATTAGCTGCAACTAAAACAAGCATATATCTTTATTAATATCCCAGCTGAAGATAGAAATACACAGACATATGCCTACATTAAAATATAGTTACCTATAGACTGAGTGCATAGCATCTATAGCTACATCTGTACAAACATATATACACAAAGGGTATCAACTAACCATGAATATAGATTATATAGAGAAGTGTACTGTATATAGATCTCTCTATAAATATACTTTACAACTGTATTTATGATGTCTGTATATAGAGAAAAAGAATGGTGGCAAAAGTGATACATTTATATATTATTTATGCTATACGTTGTGCTGAAGTTTTGCTTCTGCCCCAGCAATTAAAGAAAAACAAAGGTTATCAATGTGTTAAAAAGAAATACTTGTTAATAACTAGATAATTTTAAGATGTTAGGTTCATACCATCTGTTAATCTTAGTTGTGATTAAAGAGGTAATCCTAATGCCCATTATTCCTAATGACAAGACCAAGCAGGCTTAAAGCATTAGCCGTCAGAGGCCAAAGAGAAGAAGCAATGAAGGATATCAGCAATCTTCGCCACAATTGAGGAATTGGCCCGTCCTCCACACAACAAAAGTGATACAAAAGAATTACACCCTCACTAAAGTCTATTTCCTCGTATAATCACACAAAATGATTTTTCTTAAATATGATAATAAATCACAGCAAAAAATCAATGTGGCAGGGCCCAACTGCTATGGCCTGATAACGCATCAATCAATATTTAGTATTTAGATTTTAATTAATACATAGCAGAGGAGAGGCCTTTTAAGAGAGAAATATTATCTCAGATAAAAAATCCTGCACTGTTAGCATGCAAAAGTTGTAGCTCATATCTGTCATTGATCAATCTGCTGGAGTTGTGATTAAAAACCCTTGAAAATATCAGACAAGAGCATAAAACAGATTGAGCCAAAGCGAGTATGTCGTAGGCATTTTGGCATGCAAAGCCTCTAGCGCAGGATGCTGGGTTAACTTTAGGCAGAGAACTGAACACTGTGAAGGGAGCACAAATTCTATCCCCTCAGCATTGCTGAGGGAATAGCAGCACTCTAACAAATGTGCGAAATTTACTGCGCTGGAGACCTGATAACAGCTAACATAAATATATTACTGAGCTGAAGAAAGAACTTTTGGTTATAGAGCTTTAACCTTTTCCTCACACACACACCCTGAGTCACACATTGTTACTGAGCCTAAGAATTTGCACAATCAAAAATTGAGACAGGAACATACGGTTTTGACTAAAGATGATGTCCATGGGTTTGTTTTTCTATGTTTATTGCTGGTTTCACCTAAGAAGAGAGAAGTTGAATTGGAAAATGCAAAGCGATACATATTTTCACACACTCTCTAATCTGTTTTAGCCAATTTCTGGATCAGTTTCCCACTTTTTTGTTTCTCGTTTGTGTTTTTTGGTGAGAGGGTTTGTTTTGTTTTGTTTTTTTGTTTCCATGACACTAACATTGTTATCTTTATGGGTTTACTAATTTTCAGCTTTTTTAAAAAAAATTGAACATTTAATACATATTTATGCTCATTTTGAGGCCAATCCAGCTTCTTCTGAAGACAGTAGCAAAACTCCCAATGGCTTCAGTGGGAATACTGGTCTCCACCCCGCACCACACCCCACCACACCCTGTCCCTCCCCTTCTCTTCAAGACAGATTTTGCGATCCTTAAGCCATTTTCACTCAGGGAACATTTTCCAAACAAAAATTATTTATGTGCTGCTAGATCACTTGGAAAGAGTTTCCTAAGTATTGTGTTCTAAAATCTCTCCACATAGGTGTGGCATGAGGGACACTGGCTTGACGAAGTGATTCTGAGAGCTTTTAGGTAACCTATAAGCTTTGGGAAACCTGGGTGGTATTTCTGACATTTGGAGCAATAACTCTGTCAGATTGCCAAGCAGGCAGGAACTGATTGGTGCAAAAGTAATTCTCAGAGAAAAGTAATGAGCATCGCTAGTGCTCTGGTGTAGGAATCGGGCTATTGTTCCTTTACAAGGATTTGAGAAGACTCATTGAAAGTGACTCGGAAATGACTTGGAATACTTTATATTGCATGTAGAACATGTAGATATCCTGCAGTTATACTTTATAGGACAGGTTCATATCTAGTGTATGCAGGAACATCTCCTGTGCACAGAAGTCTCAGGGTCAAATTCAGCAGTGAAGTGTAGTGGTAGTTTATTCTTCTGGTGCAAATTGATTAGAAGTCAGAGAATGGCTATATGTGTCTAAGTAGAGCAGCTTACCCAAATAAAGCAGACAATGAGTTTAAAATCAATGTAATTTATTTGTCCTGAAAAGGTGAAAGGTGGAGCATAGCATAGCTTTCCACTCTTCCCCATCCTGTTGGAATACAAATTACACTTATTTTATACACCTACTCTTTGGTGTAAGTCATGCCAATTTGCACTTACACCCACTGGACATGTATCTGATGCCACTTGCTGTGTCACAGCTGAATTTGCACATATTGGGTTTAGGAACTAAGACTCAAATTTTCACAAATGTTCAGTACTTTTGAGTGTCCTAATTTTTGGATGTCCCCCTTTAGACACCGTTGGAAGACAATGGCAGCTGCAGATACTCAACACCTCTGAAAATGAGGCTCTAAAGTTGCCCACCCAAAATTGAGACCACTATTGAAAACCTGAACTTTAAAGCAGTGCTTAATTTGTGCCAGGGCTTGCCTACAACATACCGCACCTCTACATTTGGCAGTTCATAGCCCCTGCACCTCTAGGCTCGGCAGTTCTTAGCCCCGGCACCTCAGGGCTTGCTGCATGAGTTATGAATGTAAAAAATTGCTTGAGCCCCAGCATCTCTTTCATTGAAAATTAAGCACTGCTTTAAAGACTCTGTTTATCCTCTGTGGTTGCTACATCACAGACTCTGCAGCTGGAGGCAACTCTATTCTAAGAGGGAAGATCCCCCCTCAGGAGTGGCCATTTAACGGTTCTATAGTTGCCCATTCCTTCCCACTTTCAGTCTGTAGCTCCCTGCCATCTGATGGTGATCTGTAGTAAGTGAATTCTAGACTCTAGGGAAGGAAGTCTTCAGAGACCTTGAGCATGCTCAGTACCTCCCTGATGTGCAGAACTGGTTGGGGCAAGGATTGTGCCTTCCTTTATGTTTGTCTAGTGCCTTCTATATTTTAGGATGGGTTTTCCCTGGCTGAGTCTAGCAAGACATGGGAGAATTGTATAAGAGCCACATGCCCCAAAATTTTCTCTCTGGCTGCCCCATTCCAACCCATGATTAAAATATATGAGCTCCCTGCCCCACCCTCCTAATCACAATTAGTTTTTTCTTTGCTTCTTCTTCTCACATCTGGACTCCATATCTATCCCTGTCCTTTCTACTTGCAACCGTAGAAAGGAGCTAGTCACAGCTCCTGTAACTTGCTTAGCATTAGAGGGAATATGAGAAGAGAGAAATAGAAAATACTGGAAGTATTGATTATATTTTTTTTATATTTTGATTATATTTTCCCCTGTCATTCCAGGCTGAGCTGTTCCCTGAGTAGTGTGTTGTGGTGTATGTGGATCTGTAACTGTTATGAATCTGCACCTTACATTTTAGAGGACAATGCTTTCTGTAGAGATTGCAGCCATTTATATGATCAGCTCAGTGCATAGCGTAACAGGAGAGGCACCCCAGGCACCCTCTGAGGGAGGTTTCACTTTGTTCTTTTTAGTCTAACCATGGAAGAGGACATCCCTGCAAGAAGAAAGGGGAGCACAGAAGGGGGGACGAAATTTGAGATGGCTCCCATCAGATGGCCTCAGTGAGTGGAACAGCCA